TACCAGCACTGTGCTGGAACTAAAGGAAAAGTCGGAGAATAACCAAAGCCATTAGATTCTATTCCTTGGAGACCTTGAATGTTTTGTTCTAAATGTCATGCATTTCATTCATTCATGGCAGTGAAAACGTTGCCATCCTTGAGCCGTGCTGCTACTGTAGAAAAGAACGAAAACATTATATTGCAGGACAAGAATTACAGACTTATTCCTTTAAGTGGGAATTGCTGTTTTTATCTGGCTGTAGTTTTTTTTGTTGGTAACATTTTCTGCCATTATTGTTGTTGTGATTTTTGGACTTCCCTGAGCTAGTTCCAGTATATACAGAGGCTTGGATAGAGAGATAATGTATATTATAACTTATGTGTATTGCCGCCGAACTGCAGACAACCTAGATGTCATTGTGTACTTGTTCAATTCAAAATGTCCACCCTGAAACTATTTTTTCTTCTCACAGGTGTTCAGAGGCACAATAACAGATGCCCCAGACTTCGATCCCACTGCTGATGCTGAGAGCCTGTACAATGCTATGAAAGGCTTCGGTGAGTGCCTCACTCCTTTGTGATTTTGTTCAACGTGACGCAAGGGGTCGTCATTCATCATCTTCATTTGTCAACTGAATGATAACATTGTGACTTTCTTTGTGCCCCTCAGGTAGTGATAAAGAGGCCATCTTGGCCCTGGTCACCTCAAGAAGCAACGCACAGAGGCAAGAAGTCATTGCAGCATACAAGTGTAACTTTGGACAGGTACAAAAATACGCCTAATCTCTTTATTTGTTTTATTAAAGTAGAGACCCACCTTCACATTTGAACAGTGGCTATAGCTTTAGGATATTTTTGTAAATCCATAATTTTTCAACAGGACCTAATTGATGATCTGAAGTATGAGCTAACGGGCAAATTTGAGCGTCTCATCGTCAGTCTGATGAAAACTCCACCCTACCATGATGCCAAAGAAATCCATGATGCCATCAAAGTAAGATACTGTCCTCATAGTAAGATTCTTTCTCACACCCAAGTCATGTCCAGTGAAGCAAGGGCTGTTTTATATTTAACCTCACTCTCTGTGTCAAGGGTGCTGGAACAAATGAGAAGTGCTTGATTGAAATCTTGGCCTCTAGAAACAACAAACAGACACGTGAGATGGTTGCAGCATACAAGGATGGTAAGGCATGTTAAATAAGGTGCCCTTTAAAAAAAACTGATTTATTTTGCATCATTTTGCATTTATGATTATGTTTAGCTTATGGCAGAGACATGGAGGAGGATATCATCGCAGACACTTCAGGTCACTTTAAGAAGATGCTGGTTGTTTTACTTCAGGTCAGTTCACTGAAGAGTTGATGTTATCAGCTACAAATCATCCAGTTAACCATACATCAAATGGCTTAGCCACTTTACCTTTAAGTACTGACTCATCAGCCGTGTGCTGGTTTGGCTTTCTTGTGACTGTGTTCTCATGGTTTCAGGGGACCAGAGATGAGTCAGGTGTGGTGGATGCAGACCTGGTGGATCAGGATGCACAAGTGAGGGTTTTGGAAATGTTAAGGCCTTTTGAAATGCACAGTACTGTAATGTTAATAAGAACAAAACCATGTAATTGGGTAAGATAGCAATAGGTTTCTTTGAAAGTTACATATTGGTGACAACTGAACGGTCTCATTTCAATGTATTGTCTTTGCACTGAAAGTATTGAAACAATCAAAATGTATATCAAAAAGTTAAGAAACGTTTTGACCCAGCCAGTGTTTTATAAATGTATTTAATATAAAGCAAGACTAGGAGTCCACAGCCATGCTAGCAGCTTTGTGCTGTAAGTCAGGCACAGCAGAGGTTTTAGTTAGTTTAGTTAGTATCAGTAATGTGTCTAGCTAAAACCCTTTTATAAGGTAAGACTAGGTTTCTAATTGGGATGTATGTTATGCTTTATATATAACGATAGAGCTCAGACCTTATCTGTAACACTTTAACATCTGTGTAGGACCTGTATACAGCTGGAGAAGCGCAGTGGGGGACAGACGAGGCCAAATTCATCACAATCCTGGGAAACCGCAGTGTTACTCACCTCCGCATGGGTGAGCACAGCTTTCAGAGAACTTATCACTGTAGTGAGGCATCTAAGATATTTCTACTTTGACCTCAAGTGTCTCAGGAGTTAAATGCACATTAAATGTTGTTGTCAAAATGCAATCGTGGGCATCACAATAACATATGCAGGTTTTGTAGCAGTATGAGAGATTTTTGAGGAGAAGGTAAGAAGAAAGATGGCAGAAGAAGGAAAGAAATATAATTTCTGATGCTTTATTTTAGACAGACTGGTTACTATTTATTGACTGCAGAGCTATGAGTATTGTTACTTCTTATTACATGACTGGTTTGACATTTCCTATGCACCGATCCATTGGCGTAGCAATATGATACAAACAACATGTAATGCCTTCTTGCTGTTTATCTGTTCAGTTTTTGATGCATATGAGAAGATTGCAGAGAAGTCCATTGAGGACAGCATAAAAAGTGAGCTGTCTGGAGACTTTGAAAGGCTGATGCTGGCTGTTGGTAAGAAGCACTTGAAATACAGCACACAACAGATAATTCTATGGCGAATGTACCGCTTCATCAGTTAACGCAGGTCGCTCTCTGGTATTTTATTGCAGTCCAGTGCATAAGGAGTGTTCCCATGTTCTTTGCCAGGTGTCTTTACAGGTCAATGAAGGTAACCACGCTCTAAGTAAAAGTAACCATTCAGTCTGGTTCCAGCAGATGTGCCTTGTGACACAAATTTCTTCTATATTAAATTTTTAGGGCTTATTATTGCTACCTTATCTTGCCTGTCAACACTTGTCCTCTCCTTCTCTCCCAGGGACTTGGTACAGCTGACAACACCCTGATCAGGATCATGATTTGTCGCTCTGAAATTGATATGTTAGACATTCGAGAGTTTTTCCGCCTCAGTTATGAGAAGTCACTTTTTAACATGATTAAGGTAAGAAAAAAACTTACAACTTGTTTTAAAGACACTCAGTTCTTGGTAGTGCACGTCTGACATGATTCTGTATGTGATTGAACCAGGATGACACTTCAGGAGATTACAAGAAGACTCTGCTTAATCTGTGTGGAGGAGATGACGAGTAAGTAATGACATGGCTTCAAACAATAGAAGCCACCAGATAGGGGTGGGGTGCTAGAGCACCGCCTGTAGAGAGTCGTTGTTTACTGATACTGTATCTCCAAAAATGTTTTGTCAGGCTTGTTGTTGTTATGATGCAATGACACATGACAACGGGTCAGTGAAGTTCATCTATGAAGATCATTAGAAAGTAAAGCATCAGCATTAAGTCTCTTTCTAGGAATGCACCCATTACATGCCACCTGGGGTTTTGGCTTTGCTGAGTGTTGTGTCAAACTGACCATTGCAGCTTAGCTGGAGAGTTCTTCCCTGAAGCTGCTCAGATAGCCTACAAGATGTGGGAAATAAGTGCCACGACCAAAGTCCAGGTTTGGGCCCCATCTGCTCCCACGTTAGATGTGCTAATGCATGTTTGGCTAGGCAGTGGCATGCATCTTAATTAGCTGCTGCTCTCAGGACCACAGACTTGCGCTGGTAACAATGGTGTATGTGCACAGCAAAGGCTTTGTGTTACTGTGGAAATGATCAGAATGTTCACTGAAATACAATTAGTTTTTGTTAATGTGCTTTCTAAGCTACTGTATGCTTTGCTTTGTCCTAGGAGCCAGTGAATGTTAGAAAGATTGCAGCATTTTTGTCAACAAAAGGCTGTATCACTAAGGCTTTATATGAGTATGCTGTTTCAGCCAATGCCCACCTTTTCATTGTTGGTGGTGTCATGGCTCCTAACCTCAAGAGGGCACAGCCCCCCTCAGATGTCAAGAGATGATTAGCATAAAGCGTTGTCATCATCAGCACTGAACAGCAAACCAAAAGAAAAATTCCATTGTGCATGCTGTGCAGACCACTATGCTTATTGCTTTAAGCTTACTGCTCTAATATATTTAATTCAGGGGACAATGGTGTGTATCAAAGCTGTTTTACTTTGCCAGTTCACATTATGATTGTGTGTATGTGTAAACAGAGTCTAATTTTTCTTGTTGTTTCCACTACCCCAGCTAAGGCCAACAGTCCGCCCCGCACCTAATTTTGACCCCGCTGCTGACGCACAAGCGCTGCGAAAAGCTATGAAGGGATTCGGTATGCGGCCCTAAAGATCACAGTGCATTTACACTATTGCTAAAATTTTACAAAACACAATTTGATTATGTTATAAAATCTTTCTTGGCTACAGGAACAGATGAGGATGCAATCATTGACATTGTTGCACAGAGAAGCAACGCCCAGAGGCAAGAGATCAGACAGTCATTCAAATCCCTACTGGGAAGGGTGAGAAAGATACATCTTGAAAATTAAGAAAAACACTCAGAACATGTTTCTTACCTCTTCATTTTTGGTGGACATTTACATCTACCACTGGTTGTGTTAAAAACAATTCTGTGTTTCCTGTAGCGAGTTTATAACAGCTCTGTGTATTTGGTCTTTTCTTAGGATCTGATGAAGGACCTGAAGTCTGAACTGTCAAAGAACTTAGAGAGGCTGATCATTGGGCTCATGCTGACCCCTCCGGAGTTTGATGCCAAAATGATGAGGAAAGCAATGGAGGTACAGCTGATCCAAAACATCTAATGATCTGATTTGTTTCATTAATAAAACTCTGGAGCCATGTTATTATTTTCTAAGACTGTGATGGTAGATTGATGGTTGGCGGTAGAGGCATGGTGAATGTCATGAAAATTACACAGGAAGAATTCGGAAGTCAAATAACTTTGCATTTTGTATTTTTATTTTATTTGTGCTGCTACTGTAGGCTTTAAAAAACCAAGGTACTCCTGTGATGAATTGTGAAACAGTCTATTTTAGCACTCATAAAACCTCACTGAGTCAAGGCCATAGGGTGATTAACACAGTATTAGAAAGGTCTGTCATTAAAATAGAAATGAGGTTGTAAAACAGGAACAAAAGTAGCAAAACAGGATGACGGCATCCCCATCTACAGGTCACGAGGGGTCACTGAATGGTTTGATCAGTATGAAAATGATGTGACTCTTATGCTGTGACCTTCTCAGTCTGAACCCAGTTCCAGTTGAACACTTATGGGAGATTTTGGACCGATGAGTTAGCGTCCCCACCACCATCATCAAAACACCAACTGAGGAAATATCTTTTGGAAGAATGGTGTTCATCCCTCCAGTAGAGTTCAGAGACTTGTAGAATCAATGCCAAGGTGTGCTGAAGCTGTTCTGGTGGCACGTGGTGGCCCAACTCCTTACTGAGACGCTTTGTGTTGGCTTTTCCTTTCACTTGTCACCTATCGGTAGCTGTATAGTGTGGGTTTTTTTTTGTTTTGCTTTTGTCAAACTCCTCTGCCTTTTTGTGCTGAAAGCTCACTTCGAAACCTCATTTTAACAGGGGGCTGGGACAGATGAACACGCTCTGATCGAGATCCTGGTCACCAGGAGCAACAGGAAAATACAGGCCATGAATGCTGCCTATCAGAATGGTGAGTCTGATACCAAAATAATTTTAAAGCCACTTTCTTCTTTTAGGAACTGAAATATACAATATATCACTTCACAGCCTATAAGAAGTCTCTAGAGGAAGCCATTCAGTCAGAAACATCAGGCCACTTCTGCCGCATCCTTGTTTCTCTCGTGCAGGTAATGTTGATCATCATGAGAACTTGCAGTGTGTTTAATTTCCACATTGCAGACTCACTGCTGACAAACCAGTTCATTAATTTGCAGTTTACCTTCACTGTGTCTTACATTACTTACAATAGAAAAACCCTTGGGGAACCACTGATATTTAATTGATCAGATTGGAGCAACGTTAATAATTTAATATCTGACTTTTTTACTCTGTTCAGGCTGCAAGAGAGGAGGGCCCTGCAGACGTAGAAAGAGCAAACGCAGATGCTCAGGTGATTTAGTGTATGATTTGTATGTATCCTGTAACATGTTAATGTGTTTAATGGGTTTAACACTTGAACCACCAGGGGGCGTTGCATACCTAAAATCGCCAAATGGGTCCTATTTACCCATGCACCTGAATACCTCATTGATAACCCTAAAATGTATTCTGCCACTGTATTAAATTCATAAATGAATGTCTAGAGTCATGAAACAAGTGTTTAATCTTCAACTGTGTTTTGCTCCTGTTGTTTTATCATCCACTCTGCATCACTTCTAATGCACGGCCACCCATAGCCTATAAATCAGCCTCAGATGACACTGAAAATGGGCATTACAAAAGTGATGTAATATAATAAAATGACATATCATACTGAGATAACCAAAATTATTAACGTTCCCTACATCGACAGTAATGGGCAATAAAAATAGCAATAAACAAAAACTGCACTCAGGGATGATTTTTTGTCACAGCAAATTTGACCAAGAAACTTGGGCTAAGAAGAAAAAACATATAAAATGAGCTCAAATAGTCTTATGTTCTTTTATATTTTGGGGCTCCATTCACAGTTCCTGAGGATAGGTTACAGTAAGGCAAGGGGCAAACTAGTCTAAATATCAAGACGGTAACAAACAATCAGCAGTAATCATGGCAAACCTGAAATAATACATTCATTTGGAGTTTTCGATCAGGCTGTAGTTTTCATTTAAACCTACACTGCGTGATTACTACTTGTTGCACACTGAGTGAACATTGACCACCTAATCTTGGTCTCGGGTCAAATGCTTGTGTGTTCAGGATGGTGACATTTCTACTGAGCTCACACTGTTACAGTGCACAATCAGCATGATTTGATCGCTTTTCTGCATGTTGGTGCTGAACAGCTCCCCTCTCCTCTGCACAGAGGACAGGAGCTCCTGCTTATTTACAGCAGTGGTGCCCACTATGCTGGTATTTATGGAAAGAATCAAGTTGATGCGTGTGATGTAAGTGAAGAAATGATTGGTGGCACAGTTCTGCCTGCTGATTGTCATCTCAGTAAGTGACAGGCGTAGCCTATTAGCAGTGAATGTTTAGACAAATTGCACAAAAATAATAGGGTGAGCTTAAAGCCATTAAATGGTGGGTAAATTTGACCAGTATGGCACTTATAGGTATAAATGCCCTGTTTTGAATCATATTTAAACTATTTTTTACAATAACAGGGTGCTACAGTACATAACACTAGATAGGAAAAGTCAAAGACTGGAGACACTTGAATAATTTATTTAAACACAGTAAAGTAAAACTGAAAAACAGACGTATATGTTTTACCCCCATGGCAGTTCTAGTGTTAAATGGTTGTTCCTTTTCTTCCTCCTGAACTTTTTAGGAACTTGCCAATGCAGGCTCCGATGACATTGAGATGAAGTTCATGAGTATTCTGTGCACCAGAAGTTACCCCCATCTCAGGAGAGGTAAAGGTCAAAACAGATAGATCACAGTGCTTGGATTAATTATAGATCCAAAATATAACCAATTATGCTTGTTTCTATTCACAGTATTCCAGGAGTTTGTCAGATACACCAACAAAGACATTGAACAGGTTATAAGGAAGGAAATGTCTGGAGATGTGAAAAATGCCTTTTATGCAATAGGTAATCGCCAGCATTGACATTAAACACTCTCACTCCCCAGTGCATCATTGCTCACAGTCACTATTCTGTGGCTCTTCCTCAGTCCCTGCTTGCTTTGTTTGCTTTGCAGTTCGCAGTGTAAAGAACAAGCCCTCTTACTTAGCAGACCGTTTGTACAAAGCCATGAAGGTATTTATTCTTATGGAAAATGTATCTAGTCTAATTCCCTGTACTTTCTTTGAACCACAACAGCTTAATTTTTAGACAGGAGACATTAACTAAATCAGACAATAAAAAAGTATCTACTGATTTCCATTGCAGGGCCTTGGCACAGATGACAGAGCACTCATTCGAATCATGGTGTCCCGCAGCGAGATCGACCTTTTCAACATTCGTAAAGAGTTTAAGGAAGCATATGACGCCTCCCTCCATGAATTCATCCAGGTAGAAACTATGATCGTAAGTTGGTGTCTTTCTCTACTGACGCTACAGCTTGCTATGTTGGGCTCTCATTTACAGTGAGGAACAGAAGTATTTGAACGCCCTGCGATTTTGCAAGTTCTCCCACTTAGAAATCATGGAGGGGTCTGAAATTCACATTGTAGGTGCATTCCCACTCTGAGAGA